ATGCACTTCCAATCCAGGAACATCATCTGGAAAGGTACAAGCAGCTCCTAGAATGGATTGGGCAGTTCCCTGGCCAGCACCCTGACGAGGACGTGCACGAGAACACTAGACAGCAGCACTACAATCTTAGTACTCTTATATATACGAAAATACCGGAGATTGAATTGAGAGGCGAACACCCCGACGACGTTCTATTGGAGAAAATCCATTTACTTGCCAGGTTGACTCGAACGGTATCTGGATCAAGCGACGCGAAGACTACGGTCGAGCTGTCTACCAAGATGCGAGTAGAATCAACCACTCATGCCTCCCTAACGCAATTCATTGTTTCAACCAGGATGCTCACACTGGCACCGTCCATGCGATTCGTGACATTGAACAAGGCGAAGAGATCACTATCGACTACCTACCGGATGGAGTGATTGACCCAACCGATCGGAGATCCTGGTTGAAGAATTACCATGCGATTACGTGCAGATGTCACTTCTGCAGCGGGACAGGCAAAGACTGGGAAGAGTACTGCAAGCATAGCGACATTGTCACAAACTATTTGTTGTCTGAAAGCAGAGCAAAGAAAATGCTGGTTCCAAGTAAAGAACAACTGAAGGCGACTTGGGCCCAGATTCGTTTCCGTCACAGGCATGGTATGCGAGACGCTTCTATGGCCGTCATGTAAGCGAGTCCCTTTCCTGGTTTGTATACCTATATGATCACTGACCATATGTGTGCAGGCTTACTTACTACGCTACGTTCCTCGCTCAACGCTGCAAGATCACTAGCGCCAGGCCAATGCAGATTTGTCTCCGGATCATGGACATGAAGCAGCGTGCCTACATGATATTCCGCGACTGCTATGGGCTTGATCACCCCTACGTCGCTCATGCTATGCATGAACTGGGGTTGCTAGACGCAATCCATGACACAGGCGATCCGAAACAAATGCTTACGGTCATGCACAAGTACTTCAGTAGCTTTAGCTACGCGCCTTTCAGTACTGAAAGACCTACCGCTGACGACAAGGCAGAGAAGAACAAATCGGCTGGAGGTGGTGAGAGTGGGAAATAGTCAGATCGGTGGACCACGTGACGCCTCAAATAAGGTGTGAGACAGTCTCTCACGACCGCAAACACAAACTCCTGGCTGATGTTGTCAGTGGGCGCAATCATGGGCATTGATGCAAACGTAGAAGAGAGGATAAGATGCCCTGGCCTGCTTTGGTTTTCACATTCGTTCCTTTTTAGTATGTGTGTCGCAATGAGATCAAAATCAAAACACGTGCGCTTTGCCGAAGACTTTGCTCCATCGTCTATCAGGCTCAGAGTCGTTTGCGGTCCTCCAGACGACCCATCCATGATCATCACCGTTCGCATACTCTTTAGAATGGGCAAGACGCCGCGTTTGCAATTCGATTTCGACCGGAAACATTCCGACCACACGCGACGGCGCCGTCGTCAAAGCGACTACTGAACGTCGTCACATTTCGTACACCTACACGTCAAATACAGGGCCTGTAGCAGCACCACCACCAAGCCCACCCTTTCTCAAATCAACCAGATCAACCCTGAAACCCCTCCACTGCTCCAACCCCCTCTTAACCTCCCGGATCCTCTCAACTCTCCTCTTCGCCTCCTCCTCCTGCGCCAGACGGAACGCATCCTCATCAAACGCATCCTCACTCAACAAGCTCAAACTCTGTTTCCTCCCATGCGCGCCATACGGCTGCTGCTCGATACTCCTCTTCCGATCCCGGCCCGTGAACGCACTGATACCGCTCGCCAAGACATCCTGGAAACTGCTGCCGCGGCCCGGCAACTGCTGTCTGGCCTTTTGTGCACCGTACGGGGTGTTGAGATCGATGTCCTCGTACGCGGGGCTGGTCTCGCCCTCCGAGCCGTGGATATCAGGCTGCAGGGCTTGGCGCTTCTCGCGCCAGACGCCCCGGCGTAGGTCGAAGTTCTCGGCTTCGAGCTCGCGGATGCGTGTGTGCAGTTTCGAGCGCTCTTCGTCTTCGAGGTCGGAGAGGTCGTCGCCTGCGTCGATGGATTTGCGCGAGTCGGTTGGGGCGCCCTTGAGACGCGTCTTCAGGTCTTTGATCTCTTTCTCGCGGTTAGCGCTTGCGGCGGCGGCTTCCTTGTGCAGCTTGGTTAGCGTCTCGATCTTCTGTTCGAGACTTGTGGCGCGCTGGGCTGCGGTGTCGGCGGAAGATTGGGCGGTGCGGAGGTCGGATTCGAGTACGGTGATGCGCTGTTGGAGCGCTGCCGGATCCTCATCTTCTGACTTCGACTTCTCGGTGTCTGCGTTCTGTATTGATTCCTTGAAGGTGTCTAGCTCTTTTCGGGCTGTTTCCGTTGCTTCTTCAGCGCTTGTAGCGCGTTGTTCAAGCTCCTTGATGGTGGCTTCATGGCTGGTAATGTTGGACTGGGAGATGTTGAGTTGGTTGCGGAGGTTGGACAGCTCCAGCTCGAGAGATTCGATGGTGGATGTCTTAGAGGCAAGCTGCTCGGTCAGCTCAGGTGGACTTGCAGTGGACTGTCGACGGGCTTTCGTGGCTTGTTGTGCCTGGTTTAATTGACGTTGTGTGGAAGAGAGCTCGGCGTTCTGTATCAGTATTAGCATCGCGTCGCAGGTCGCGCCTTCCCAATATGGCTCGCTATGAGACCCACCAATCGCTCCACCTCCTTATCCTTCTCATCCAACAGCGCGGCCTTGGACTTCAACTCTGCAAGATCGCTGCTGCGGTCTCTCAAGTCCTCCAGCTCGTCCTCAGTCTTCTTGAGCCTAGCCTCGGTATCCTTCAAGCTCCTATTCTCCTTCTCCAGCTCCTCGATCCGAGCACTTTGCTTCCTGTATATTTCCTGAACCTCCTTGTCCGGATCTACTGGCAAGCTCGGGGACTTCAGGCCTTCTGCAGTACCGCTGACCCCTTTCCGGAAAGACTCGGAGCGCTGTTTTGACTGTATCGAAAGTGAAGGTTGACGATCCAGAGCCGGTTTTTCTGCGCTTGCGGGAGCCTCCTCTTCAGTCGCCTCTGCTGGGGCTGCTGCTGGCTCCTCTGCCTCTGGCGCGGCCTCTTCAGGTGCTGCGGCATCTTGGGCAGGAGCCGCTACGTCGGCACCATCTTCTACAGCCGCGTCTTCCTTTGCTGGAGTCCCATCCTCGTCCTTTGATGCTGCCTCTTCTGCCTTCTCGGCCTTCTTCTTCTTCGCTCCGCCCTTCTTGCCCTTCTGCTGCTTCTTCAATTCCTCGAACTGGACATGACTGGTCAGTAGTATCCATGTAACAGGATTGCTTGCGACTTACGCGCTTCTTTGCAGCGGCAAGCTTCTCGGCTTTCTCTTTGTCATCCACATCGGCCATGATTACGGTACTGTATGTATGCAAGATGGTAGAGAGCAATCACGCGCTCCTGGCCAATTGTCCAGGTGTTTACCCCGGACTGCGGGTGACGACGTGCCAAGCCATCTCAAACCGAGCAAAAGTCCATAACGGGAAATAGAGATCTCATCCTATAGCCGCGAAAACAAAAACTTGGCCGACGTATAATAATTCGGATCTAATCTTGAAGCGCAAAGTAGAGAAATATCACTTTGACGGGCTGGTGATCCTTGTACTATCTTCTTCCAACAATCGGAAGGATCTGCATACACCTCAGGCGCAAAAAGCGTCTATCTCGCAAAGAATTGGGAACTCGAGCTTCAGATCTAGCAACTCCTCAGGAACGAAATCATGCCAAGCAGAAAACGTGCGAAGGAAGCGAGGAGGGAAGTTCGCAAAGCACTCCAGGCTAAGGCTCGGGCTGCAGAGGCTGTCGAGGACGATGTTCCGGATCCAGAGCTCGTTGCTCTGCAGCAGAAACTGCTCGATATGTTCAGAGATGCATGCTTCAGCAAAGTGCAGTCTGACTTCGAGGAGACATTGCAGGAAGTGAAAGGCCATCTCTTCGATCGCAACTTTGCTGCTGCGTTCGGAAAGGACGAGTACCTCCAAGCGTATGCCGCAAGATGGAGTCCCAGCAGAGCTCTGGCATATATGCAAGTCTTTTCTGATATCTCTTCTTTCATCGAAGAGGTTGAACGGGGAGATGGACCAAAGAATTCGAATGCGCAATCTGCATCCGCAGATTCCGCCGGGCTGGAAAAACTTTCCTTGGAAGAACAAGCAAATTCAAGCGACGAGGTGGCGAGTAACGACGGCAATGCTTCATCGCAAACACTTCGTGTTGCATGCTTAGGAGGTGGCGCAGGAGCAGAGGTCGTTTCTTTTGCTGGCTGGATGAAGACACTTGTCGAGAGCGAGAACCCACCGTTTTCCAGCTTTGACGTCTCCTGTCTCGACATCGCGCGCTGGGATACGGTCGTAGCCGACCTCGACAAAATAATTACCCAGCCAAAAGAGCTGTCCAAATACGCATCGGCAGCTGCCCGGGAAGCAAACGTGCCGTTCCTGCCACCAGCGACGATGAAGATCGGCTTCCAGCAAAGAGATGTGCTGGGCATGAAGCAGGCCGCAATGGACGAGGCTCTCAAAGACATCGATCTGGTCACCCTCATGTTCACTCTCAACGAGCTGTACACGGACTCCATGCCTAAGACGCAGCGTTTCCTCCTGCAGCTGACGGCATCCTTACGACCGGGCTCTCTCCTACTCGTCGTTGACAGCCCAGGCAGCTACTCTGCTGTTTCGATCAACGGCGCGGAAAAGAAATACCCGATGCACTTTCTACTCGACTATACTCTGCTGCAAGCGCCTGCCAAATTGGAGCCGCCGGTCAAGCAGTGGGAGAAACTAATGTCGGATGACTCACGCTGGTTCAGATTGCCGGAAGGTTATCATTATCCTATCGAGCTGGAGGATATGCGGTACCAGATCCATCTGTATCGCAGATGCGGGCCTGAAGAGCAATCATCAGACGCTTGAATCCAAAAGCATAATCCCTCGAAGAAGGAAATACCCTGGGGGGACGATATAGCACGCTCAGACCTACATACTACTCAATAATATCCAGCGTAGTGTAGGGGTTAGCATGTCTGGCTTTCAGCTCTATTGAAAGGACCCAGGAGACCCGGGATCAAACCCCGGCGCTGGAAGCTATGTTTTTGCTCCCTTCACACCGCTCCGATACGTTGGGGGCATCGGACGGATAGGTGCATGGCTGTCGCCGGCGCTGAGGATCCAAGCGTCATACGAGGCCGGCATGTGCTTTTGACACTGAGGCGCAAAAGGTTCTTCATCATGCATTGCAGAAGAAACATCAGGCTCGCAAACCCTGCGGGTAGACCTCCTGTGATAGCATTGGGTTGCTCACACCCAGCACCAGATCTCCACCAGCAGCGCATATGCCAGATCCGCAATCTAGCGATCATGTTTTCCATACCTCTACCCCTAGCCGTGAGCCCTCACGAGCTCATGAGATCCTGCTATTAAAGCAGGATACTTCCGCAGGCTAGCACTTGCACCAAATGTTATCTTCAAAATTCACCTGTTAGATCCCGCCAAATCCGAATCAAACAATGTGCTTCACAACCTTCCGCGCCTACGCCGCATGCCAACACCACAGCACGCGCCGCACCGACCGCAGCAACTGCCTTACTTCCAGGAAACAGGCTTCCACTGTCCGCGTCGAAACCGCACCTACTGCACCCAGTGGTGGCCCGGACCGTGCGCGGTTTGCGCGGCTGTGACAGGTGTTGTGCCGCCGTGTGTGTGGAGGGAGAGTGAGATGGAGGATGGGGATATTGCGGAGGATATGGAGGCGTTGGAGTTGGAAGAGAGTGAAGGGAGTGCCAGTGAGGGTGAGGGTGAGGGTGAGAGTGAGACGGAGGTTGAGATGGGGGCTCAAGATGAGGAGGATGGGTCCGAGGACCAGTTTATGCAAGACGGGCATATGAGGGCAGTGTTGGGCAGGAATCAGACGGACTATGAGCGGGGCTATTCTCATGGGTATCAGGAGGGGAGGGAGGATGTGCGCGCCGGGCGCGTGAGTCGCCGGCAATTCTGGATGCAAGCGAAATCTATGAGAAAGATCTGGACATACTATACTGTACATTGCGACTGGCAAACTTGTTTGTGAATTCTCGTTCAATGCGTAAGCTAACTATGTCTTCGTGGTCTACCTAAAAACTTCTGTTGATCGTTTTTCTCGTCATGTCTCCTACCCCTGTGTCCTCCAAACCCGTCCCTTGACGAACCCTCCATCGGCAAAACGTATTGCAAAATAATCCGACCAGTTACCTTTTCCGCCAGTTTCCACCCAAAAGCCCGGACCAAGTCGAACGAGATATTAAACATTATTAGTGATGCAGCGTCCAAAAAGATACCCAGCTCACACAATCTCCCAAGGAATCTAAACCAACACCCCAACCAAAAACAGTCCCAGCGCCAAAACCGAGGCACAGTTCTTGGCCGCAGCGCCCTGCAATGGCGCAGAAGTGGTGGTAGCGGCAGGCTTAGACGGACTCGCGGTCACGCCGCCGGCGACCGAAGAGGTGGTGGTGAAGGTGGTGTAGGAGACTGCGGTGCCGGTGCCCGGGGCGGTTGGGTGATACGGGATTGTTGAGTTGGGGCAGGGGTAGGGCATGATTGGGGTGCTGGATGTGGTTGTGGAAGTTGTGCACGGGGTCGTAGTGCTGGAAGTGGTCGAGGATGTTGTGCATGGAGTGCTGGAAGGGGTGGTGCTTGTTGTGCAGGGAGTGGTGGTGCTCGAAGTCGTGGTGGTGGTTGTGCACGGTGTTGTGGTGCTGGATGTAGTGGTTTTAGAGGTAGTGGTGGTCTCAGTGCATGGAGTGGTAGTCTTTGAGGTCGTTGTAGAGAAGGTAGTGCATGGAGTGGTGGTGCTGGAAGTCGTAGAGGAGGTAGTGCATGGAGTTGTGGTAGATTTCGTAGTCGGGGTGACTGGCGATGCAGGGGTAGACGACGTCTTGATAGAAGACGTGGTGGAAGAGGTTTCGCATGGAGTGGTGGTAGAGGATGTCTTGATTGAAGATGTGGTGGAAGAAGTTTCGCATGGAGTGGTGGTAGAGGACGTCTTGATTGAAGATGTGGTGGACGAAGTGGTGCATGGAGTGGTGGTAGAGGACGTCTTGATAGAAGTCGTGGTAGAAGAAGTGGTGCATGGAGTCGTAGTCGAGATAGTAGTCGAGGTGGTAGTAGTGGTCTCCTTGCATGGAGTAGTGGTACTGGTCGTCGTCGGGGTAACCGGTGACACAGGGGTAGAAAACGTCTTGATAGAAGACGTGGTAGAGGAAGTGGTGCAAGGCGTTGTAGTGCTCGAAGTCGTCACGGAAGTCGTGGTGGAAGTCGTGCACGGCGTGGTGCTTGAGATCTTGGAAGTCGTTGTAGAGGTGGTTGTGCATGGAGTCGTAGTGCTCGAGGTTGAAGGAGTGACAGGGGATACAGGTGAAGAGGACGGCTTGGTCGACGTCGTGGTAGAGGAGGTCGTGCAAGGTGTGGTGGACGGTGTGGTGGAAGAAGTCTTGACAGAAGTGGTGGTAGAGATGGTAGTGGAAGTGATGCATGGTGTAGTGCTGCTGCTAGTAGTAGTCGTGATTACCTTCGAGGAAGAAGTGGTAGAGCTAGACGTCTCCTCGCATGGAGTCGTCGTGCTCGAGATCACATGCGTAGTACTGGTGCTGCTCCAGACATGGTACGAGCTCCAGGGAGCCTGAATCTGACCGTCCGAGATCTGGGTGACAGGTTCAGCGGTCCACTTAGGAGCTTGAACCTGCCCGTCGGAGATCTGAGTCACTGGCCAAGGCGCGGATTCGGAAGAATCGACGACAACGTTATCCCAGACTGGAGGCATAGCAGCAGCGAGAGCGGCGCTGGTGGCCAAGGTGAATGCTGTGGAGAGCTTCATGATGTGATGCATGGTAGGATGCGTGGTACTTGGGCCAGTAATTCTCTAGAAGAGATTGTACGGTAGGATAGAACGGATGTATCTGTAGTGTTTCGAAAACGATTGAGGAGGGGAAGTGAATGTGTACAAGAAGCAGATAGATTCGCAGAGTAGCAGAGAGTGGAGAAGACTCGATCAAGAGAACGCAGAGACTCCTGAGTACGACCTGAGTGGCCCATTGTTCGACCTACCTGGCACAAGTCTTATATAGACGTTGGCGATCTACCCCAGGTGCTCACCCGTCAACAACCGCCAGCCCCGTTATCGACGTTGACCACGGCAGGGCTGGACGTTGACAAGGTCTTCGACGAACCGGTGCAACTTTCCTGGGATGTTGCGCAGCTGTAGTGGCATGTGGGGAGCTGTAGTGTGCTGTAGTGTGCTGTGGTATACCGGTGCGACCTGAGAGGGTTGTGGTCGTCTCTGTAGTGACACGCCACTACCAGCCCTGCCGCAGCGCAGATGCATGGTAAGCGGCGCAAGAGAGTGAAAAGAGCGTGCACAAGCGAAGATAATCGGTGGTAGAGAGCTGAAGTCCGTGCTTTACGCAGCCGGTGGTGATGTTCGTTGCGGGAAGCCCCGCGTCTGGGCTCGGGGTGGATGAGCGGGTTTGAGCGGGTGGCAGGGAAACGCATGATGGCGCATGTGGGGGAGGTTGGGTCGCATGGTCGACACCCATGGTAACCTCTCACCTCGCCTCTATACCAGCACTGACACCGTCACAGCCCACTGTCATTGGGTCCGACCTCGTTTAGCCTATCCCGAACGTCAGCCCTTGGTAGCCTGTCTACACAGACCAGCCGTTCTGACAGCCGTCGACTAATCGTATCCTTGGGCGCATCCTTGGGCGCATCATGGGCTACGAGTCGCAAATTTCGTTCACACTGGACACTATTTGTCCATGGTATCCATGCCCCATTTTGTCTTTCCGTGGCGCCTTCGGTTCAATTAGATGTTCAACCACAATCCCAGAGCCTCCAGCCACTCCATAACCCAATGCGCTTCCGCTTTCGAATTGCTTGCCATACTCTTCTCACTCAATAATCGAATGTCTTTCACTCTGACACCCAGCGCAGGACCTACCTGGCCAAGCGTCGCCTGACTAAAGCCCTCACCCGCATCCGCTCCACCAACCCCTCCGTAACATTCACCGTGCACTACCTCCCCTACCAACTCTATCCGGAAGCCTCCCAGGAAGGTGAAGACAAGTATGCCTGGTACAGGCGCTCACGCTACGGCGACAGCGAAGACAAGATGAAAATGTACGAGACGCTGATGAGCGCGTACGGCGTGGCTGAGGGTATTAACTATACCTTCCACGGTACTGTAGCCAATACTCTGCATGCGCATCGCTTGATCCAACACTTCCAGGACACGAGAGGTGAGGAGATGGCGGACAAAATTGTAGACAGCCTGTATCGCCAGTACTTCGAAGAGGAGAAGCATCCGAGTAGTCACGGTACGCTGATCCAGGCGGCCACGGAAGCCGGAGTCCAGGAGAAGGAGGCCCGAGAGTTTGTGGAAGATGAGGATGAGGGTTTAATGGATGTCAAGATGTTGATTCGAGAACAGGCGGGTAATGGTGTGGATAGTGTGCCTTATGCGGTTATTGAAGGGAAGAGACGAGATCTTACGCTTGTAGGCGCCAAGGAGGTCGACGAGTATGTGAAGGCGCTGGAACAAGTCATAAAAGAGAGCAGGTAACGACAATGCAGAGCATGCTCAACAGAAGACGTATAGTTTTTCACCAGCGAGACGGGACGAAATGTATGCGAAGGAGAAAGCTTGGTCGGGTTTTCAGGGTGCTGATGTATACATTATTATTGTATCGCTATCGGTTGCCAACTGCCATCATAATGCCTCCATCAGAAAGGTGCTCGCGCAATGTTATCGCAGGAAGCAGTGTCTGAGAAGTTTCGCATCCGTCGCATATAACGCGTCGCCAGAGAGGGTATCGCAGAGAACAAAAGGAAACATTGTCGCGGAGGTGCGCGTCTACTTCTTGAGGATGATGTAGCTGCATTTCCCGTTAGCGTTCGCTCTCGACGCGGATTCGGTGGGAGTGTTGTTTGGACGTACAGCGCGTGGATGATACCAGGAATGTAACCAAAGATGGTCAGAACAATGTTGATGAAGAAGTCGGCATTGCAGCCAGTCTCGAGGAACACTCCGAGAGGTGGGAGGATGATGGCG